TAGCACAATCTTTTAGACAGAACTCTGGATCAATGGCAGTTAAGTATTCCTATGCTGAAAAGACATACTAGAATTACATACGTGCATGCCATCTCTGGGATTCAAACTTCAGCCCAGTGGTTAGGCAGCTGCTTTCTTAACCACTTTATCTTCTGAAATAGTGCATGGGGATTTACACTTAATAAATGCTTTTATATTCCATTCATTTATTTCTGTGCATACCACTGCAATTGCACCAACATAATGAATCATCTAAATATAATGCCATAATTCTCTGAGTATTTTCTCACTAAATCTTGATTTATTAAAAAAAACTTAGCAGATGCTTTTGAATACTAACTTTAGGTTTTAAAATTTCACACAAACACAGAATTCAAGAATCCATTTCCTTAAATTCTGCATGCAGTTAGCTTTGATTTCAGAAATTCTTATACTGACTTGCTAATTACTAACACGTTTTTGGCAACCATCCCCTACCCTGGGAAGAAATCTGTAAAAAGCCATAGTCACTAAAACTGGAATTCCTTCAGTTACTCCTTTTCTTTCTTTCTTTTTTTTTAACTGATACTACAGTTTATCTTTGCTATATTTTGTTTTTATTGAGTCTTCACAGTTTTTAAGTCAGAATATTCATTTCATATTCCTTTTCATGGAAGTGGCTACAAAAGCAACCACTCGTTCATTTCTGCTTGAAGACTAAACATTGTTAGTAGTTCTCAACAAATCAGTATGTGTTTAATAATAATAATAATAATAATGTAATAAGAATCTGGCTACCATTTTATGACATATTTAATGTAATAAGAATCTGGCTACCATTTTATGACTTACATCGATGGTGTCACTAAACTCTTAAACGAAGGACCATATAATCCGATCCCTAAAGATCCTTCACCTTCGGACTTATCCAAAATAAAAACTGCGATCAAATCTTCGCAAATTATTTCAAGCAACTTAAAACATTCGCTTATCCCATCTGTTGCGAATTGTGCCAGATTATATGCTCTTCCCAAAATTCATAAAAGTGGTATTCCTTTCCGCCCTATTGTATCAAATTTAGGTACTGCCTCATATCCATTAGCTAAATATTTAGTTTCTAGATTTTCCACTCTATTAGACAATAACATTTACAAACCATAAAAAATTCAATAGAGTTTGTAAAAAAAGGTTAAAAACATTTCTCCTCGTAATTTACTCATGGTTTCTTTTGATGTAAAATCATTATTCACCAATGTCCCAGTGGAGGGTGCATTAAGATGTCTAGAAACCAGACTTCGCGAATTTCATTTCTCTTGCATCGAAATTGATGAGCTAATTTCTCTCACTCAACTCTGTTTGAAACAAACACATTTTGTTTTCCAAAATAAATATTACAAGCAAACTGAGGGATTAGCCATGGGAAGCCCCCTCAGTCCCATCCTGGCTGATATCTACATGCATTATTATGAATCAAAATTGTTTGAAACTTTAAACTTCCCTGCATGGTTCCGCTACGTAGACGATACTTTTACCCTGTTTGAAGGTAATAAAGATGCTTTAAATAGAGTTCTTTCAACAATGAATTCTATTGATCCTGCTATTCAGTTCACTTTTGAACTTGAGACTTGCAATTCTCTTCCGTTTCTCGACATTCTGGTCACACGTAACACATCCAACTTCAGTACTACAGTTTACCGTAAACCTTCATCGGTTTGCCTTCCACCACACTTTAAATCATGTCAGCCGACTAAACAAAAGTTAGCTTCATTTTATTTCTTTTATTTTTCCGTGCATCTTCAAGTTTGCTCCTCCAAACTGGCCCTTGATGAAGAACTAAATTATTTAAAAGCAATAGCTATTGACAGGGGCTTTTCACCCAACATTATTAATCAAGCAGTTAAAAAATTCTCATCTCAACACACCAAAAGGCACACTCTTATTTTAGGAGATTATAAAAATTCTGTTGTCCATTCCCTTCTTTCCATCAATTAGCTATAAAGTTGCACATATTTTGCAAAAAAAAAAAAAAAAAAAAAAAAAAAAAAAAAAAAAAAAAAACAAAAAAAAAAAAAAAAAAAAAAAAAAAAACAAAAACAAAAAAAAAAAAAAAAAACAGAAATTTAACTTTCGGGTTGTTTACTCTCCCATCAATAAAATTCCAACTTCTATACTCAAGGACCCCATTCCGGATATGAATTCCTGGGGTATTTATAGGATTCCTTGCCAGTGCGGTTTAATTTACATTGGCCAAACTAAGAGAGCCTTAAAATTTCGTGTCAAAGAACATGAAGCATATGTTAGAAAAAAGGAAACACAGAAGTCTTCTGTTGCTCAACATTGTTGGTCCGAAAATCACACTTTCAATTTTTCTGCTGCCAAAATTATTCAAAAAACATCTTCCAATGGAGAACTGGGTTTTCTAGAGGCATTTCACATTCATAAAAATCTTTCTGTTCTAGTTAACGATCCTAATTCCAATCCAAATTTGCCTTCGGCTTTTAGAGAAATTATGTTTTAGTTCTGGTTTCGCCAACAGATGGCGCCACTTGCTTATTCTTGTCCAGGCTTTCTTATCTTATCTAAACATTATTTCCTATCTTGTTCATTTGCGGTTTTGCAGCTGAAGATGATGGTTCGGTAAAACCATCGAAACTAGTCCTGTGAAAATTTTGCAAATTAACGCTGATTTTTGTTGTTTGACTTCTGAATTAATATTTAAAAATGTTTACATGTTTATAAAATGGGATAATACCACATTAGTGCTTCAGAACACCATGTCTAAAAAGTTTAGTATTAAAATGCAATTCTAGTAATAAAAGCAATATAAAAAACAAAGTATTAAAATACATTTTATATTTTGTAACACTTTTGATCTAATGCTACAAAATATCCGGCTACTAGTCTCTGGTAAACTTAAAAAAACTTTTAGAATACAGCTTTCATTGAGTGATTTCTATACAAAAAAGAAGTTATTTCTTTATAAAAAATCTCAAAACAGGAAAAAAATGTTTACATGTTTATGAAATGGGATAATACCACATTAATGCTTCAGAACATCATGTCTAAAAAGTTTAGTATCAAAATGCAATTCTAGTAGTAATAGCATTATAAAACACAAAGTATTAAAATACATTTCATATTTTGTAACACTTCTGATCTTATGCTACAAAATATCCCTCTACTAGTCTCTGGTAAAATTAAAAAAACTTCTAGAATACAGCTTTCCTTGAGTGATTTCTATACGAAAAAAAAATATTTCTTATTAAAAAAAATTCAAATCGTGTAGTAAAATATAGCTAAAATGGAATATCTGAGGGTGATTTGTATGCAGTTTTAAATGATTTCCACCTTAACCCACGGGAAGTGCGTGGGGTGTACCATACCCCAACCCTACATAAAAGTGGAATATTCCTAACTTGTGAAACTGAAATTCTGTGCTGCTTTCAGTAGCTGAGTTTCTAGTTGTGGTTGACTTTCAGAACCTCTTTTTCTTTGCCTGTGTGTTTCAGAAAAAGATTTATCGGTATTTTGTTGGAACTGGGGTATGATACACCCCACGCGCCTGTCTGTGTAAGTGTTTTTCTGACTGAATATTTAGTTCAGAAAGTTATTTCTAGAGTGCAACAGTAAATATTTCTACTCGCAAGTGAATTTAAAGTACCTGACATAAAATTCTTAAAAATTTCTAACTGCATTATGGTAAAAAGAATGAGTCCCTATGAACTGGAGATGCAACGCATGTGAGATTTATTAGAAATATTTGAAAGTGATGAAGATTGCATTTCGGAAACTGAAGATGAAACTAAGAATATTTTCTACAATGTTTTGGTTTCGAAAAAGATAAAACATTAATTCCTGGTGTTCCTAAAAAAGGAAAAACTGTTCTTATGCTTTCAGCATTATATAACGATCATGCTATAGATGATACTATTGGCGAAAAGAAAACGTCAGGAATTATATGTTTTAATAATATGACTAAAGGAGTAGTGGATATAGGGGATGAAATGTCAGCCAATTATTCAATTGCCAGAATAACAAGGAGGTTGCCAATGGTAATTTTCTTTCCTGCACTGAATGTTGCCGTAATAAATGCTTGAATTATATTACATTCAACTGTTAATCCACCAACCAGAAACAGAAGTCTGTTTTTGAAGGACTTAGCATTACAATTAATGAAAAAAAAGTACTGAACAAAGAATCAGAGATTAATACTTTTCCAAGAAATTGACGTACAGCAAGCAAAACAAAAGCAGAAGTTTCGACGAAGAATTAAAACAAATACATGAAATTCGAAACAACTAAGTATGAAAGATGTGATAAATTTTTTTGCTCTCGCGCCAAGGACAGAAGAACGTAAATACAATGTTTTAAATGTGAAAACATTCTGTGCCAAGAACACATGAATGTATTTCGTTCAAAGTGTGAAGAAATAAAATAAGCATGGTGTATTAGAGATGCAATGAAACTTAGAGGCATGATGATTATTTTTTTATTATTTTCATTTATCTTAATTTTAACTCTAAGATTATTTCAAAAATTAATTTTTTGGAACCCAATTATTATTCACTTATTTATAATACATGAGAACAAAAAAAAAAAAAAATTAAAACTAAATAATACTATTTTTATTGTATTTCAAATATTGGGGTATGTGATACCCCATGCGCTCACTATAGTAACTTTTCTTGGTGCGACTTCCACCAGGTTAAAAACTAAAACAGAATTAACTTTCTGCATTTCTTTTATACAACTAGATAAAATTTAAATTTTCGGCAGCTTTTATTGTAAAACAATGCATAAACCAAGATGAAGGAGAGCAATGGCGTAAAAAATATGATACTCTAAAAAATTAATATCATACAGTAATGATAAATCATATATTATCGCAATCTGAATTAGCTGATAACATTTATCATCTAATTGTCACAATGTAATAATAGCAAAAGGATATTTTGCCACCAGTTTCTGAATCATAATGCCAATTACAAAGATTACTTCAGAGTAGAAATGCAAGCATTTACCTGCATATAACTTTTGGTCTCAGCTTACATGGAGGTTCATCTCTGGGAGGATTAGTTCGCATTGGAAAACAACAACTTTCCTCACAATCTTCTTCCCATCCACAATCACACTGCTCATTTTCTTCCACAACACCATTGCCACAAATAGAATCTTGCATTTCTATAAAATTGTAAAAAAAAAAAAAAATAGCGATTTGTATTTAAAAATTAAAGAAAAGAATAAGGAATGGTTAAGATTTGACATACAGCACATCAGACTTATTACAACTTAAATGATCAGTTATAAAAAAAAAATGGAGCATACAGCATTACAGTTAATAATAAAAAAAAAAAAAAAAGAGAGAGACCCTTTCACCAAGAAAAGTACGTCAGTGAAAAGAGAAAAGGGGGGAGGAAGAGGAGAAAACAAAGGTACAACTACTTTTAATTGCTTATACTACATTAAGCTTAATAATTTTTTCTGCTGTCTTTATGTGCATAAACAATATTTATCATAGACAAGTAGGTAAATGATTGCAATATATTAAATAAAGGGATGGACCATTTAATAATTTCTGCATTTAATAAATTTATTATTTTTTCCTCACAGCAGTTTAAAAAAATGCTAAAATCTACATTTTGTACATCACTAATAGTACTTAAGTAACGATTAATAAATAATGATTTCCATACTAATTTACTGGGAAGGAATTAGGAAGCATTAAAATTCTGGACCAAGTTTAGCGAAAGCAATGAATTTAAAGTTAAAACAACTTTGCTTTGCCTTTCATTCTGTTACTAAATATTCTGCAGGTTCCAGTCGAATGTTTTTTAATATTTAACAAAACTTTTTTAATGATTTCATTGAACTGTTTCACTGCATTCAATTGCTTGCTTAAAGGCAAAGCTTATTAGAGGTAAGGGATGAAAGACATTCAGCAAAAGTCCCCCTTATAACTAGAAATTTCCCCATATTTATATTACAAATGTGAAAAATGAATGGAACATGTATATAACCAGCCAACTCAAGTATCAGGAGTAGAATTCCAGTGAGAACTAGCCAGCAGCTTTAGCTATTTTGCCACTGGGAAGATTTGAATAAAATGATTACAAGTTTAAAAGTGGTGATTTAAAATATTTTTAAAAATATTTATAATCATACTTAGATACAGAATTTAGCTGCCAGACAATTCCCAAATACAGAACAAATTTTGCTTATGGTTTATAATAATAAAATGAAATAGATGAAAGCTTTGTTTCTGTTTTTATTTCTTTCATGCGCAAAGGTACAAGAGAATAGAATGACAGGTTAAGTGATTTATTAAAACTACTCAAGGGTTATCAGTCTAAAGAAATATGCAGGACATTCATATAAAAAAATTTTTATATTTATTTGTACACAAGAAAAACCATGAAAAGTTTCCACAAGCAAAAGGCTCAAATGCAAGATGTATACCCCTGTACAGTGGTCTCATAGTCATTAAAATAATTTTAAAAAATTTATTTTTAGACAATAGTATGTATTTGAATAATCTTTCAAACAAGAAACAGAAAAACTGAAGACAGATGAAAATTAAACATGCTTTAATTTTGCATTACTAATAAGATCAAGTTCAATAAATTATATAGATTAAGTTCAATAAATTATATAAATAATAAGATTAAGTTTGGATAAATGAAAGACCAAAACACTGAATGTCTCCTCAGTAGCATGCTGATTATCCTTTCAAATTAATAACAGATTGCACATCTTAGAATCAAACACACAAAAGTTGAAAGAACTGCAGCCCCTTATCCTCTTATATTGTAAATTACTCTACCAACACAAGCTTCAGAATTATGGATTTCAAGTTTTTCTCAGTAGCATTCCAGAGATTCAACAAATTCCTTAAAAGTAACTGAACTGTCTGGAACATCACGTTCTTCATGTCATCTAGAGTGAAAGTGGCCCAACATATTGTCTGTCCTGAAATAATTCAACCCCCTTCAAGATGAAGCTAGCACATCTGGGTAGCATGCGAGATGTCATGTCCTAAAGAAAGGTTTCACACATTATGACAGAGGCACCATCATACTAATTTACCTGGATGGGCCAATAGCATCGTGTTGCATGTTCCATAACCTATATTTTCTACAAGTTGAATGCAGCAAGAAATAGGATTCATCTACCCAGACAAATCAGGGCCATTTTGCATAGGTCTGGTTTTGATATTCATAGCAGCAATTAAGAAGCAATAACTGATTTGCACGCAAGCACTCATACATCAGTAAAACACTAGCTTACTTAACCTAGAATCTGCATTAAATAATTTGTGCACAGACGTTTCTTCATATCCACTACTGATCCCAGAAGTGATATAAACTCACTTTTAGGGCTTCATTTCTAAAATTAGGAGTACCAGAGCCCTATGCAAGACTATCAGGAAGTCAAAACCTTAGATTTAAAATCATGTAAACTTTCACAAAGGGGGAAAAAAAAAAGAATTTGAGACATATAAGACAACATATTTTTGTAGGAATTAAACATTTAAAAGTTAAACATCTTAACCAATTTATTAAGTCCCATTGACCATGAAAGTTGGAGGAGAGCCCACCAAACTTGCTTCAACCATATCAGATGTTTGAAGGAAGAGACCATTCTTCATTAAGTTGCAAAAATCAACAGATACAAATTATGGATATGACCTTAAATCGTTTATCAGAGTGTTCATGTTGCATTGCAACTGCTTATTCATTTTCAAATAAAGTTGCATTTTTTTGCCTATTAACTCAACTTCCTTGATGCCAAAATCTCGCAGCTTTGAAAATATTCCACCATATGCTATTCCATAAAAGGCACATCTGAAATTTTAATATTTTTTTTTTAAATGTAAGAGAAAAACAAACACATTTTATTGAGAACTAATCAGGGTTGCATAAAAGCATGATGAAGATCTGAAGTTTCTGATGTCATGTTTATCCATTATTGGTGGCAAATTTTATTGTTTGGCAATATGTGTTTGTTTGTTGAAAATGGTTCAATAGCAAACATGTCTAGAAGGAGTGCACAGTTTCCAGGAATGAATTCTCAGAATAATATGACAGATATGACATTGGAGTTAGCAACATCTTCCAAAAGAGAGCCGTATAATTGTGTTAACAATTTAAATGTTATACGAGGGATTCTGAACAGAAGTCGCCAACCATTAAAAGTCACTAAACACCAAAGTTCAGCCAAAGTTTCATGTGTGTCATGTGGGTATGAATCATTTCCCATGTGTAATAAGGTTAATATGGCTATAAAGCAGTTTTCCTTAGAAAGTTCTCCACAAAGAGACCCTTTCCCTTAATCAGATAACTTTAGAATGTTTTCTTATAATCAGATAAACTAAACTAAACCAAAGTGAATTGAGTAGAAGATCTTATACTTGTTTTATAACAGTTTTACATATCTCTTATACCTATAAATTTTTGCTTTTCAGAAAAAATCTGAAATTCTAAAATATTTTGGATATTTTAGCTTTCCAGTTTGTTCAATGCTAGATAGGTACACATTTCCTGTATTCCAGAAAGTTAAGATGTTAGTTTAGTTCTGGTTTGTATTTAGTATGAGTACAATTTATTTGGCTTGGGGTTTGCCAATCTATTCCTTCCATTACAATTATTTCTAAAGCTTTCGTAGTTTAACGGACTTCACAAAAATTTTAGTTCTAAATCTTGCCTCTCTAGTACATGGTGGACTGAGACTGATTTCAAATGAGTCTTTACAGTAAAACTTCAGCTAAATGAAATTTCTCATTTTGAACACACTAATAAGATAAAAGAATTAAAGAGGACCATATATTTAAGTTACAGAATCTTTCTTTAAGATCAAATTAACCTAACAAAACTTTGATTATATTTGTTTCAACATGAAACTTTTTTAATTATAAAATAAACAAATACTAACCTGTGAAGCAACCTTTTAAGCTTCTAGCTTTTGTATTAAGGACAGCATTAATGCTGCGAACACTACAAGGTGAAAACTTGTTGTTATTCCTACGATCTCCAGATGTTGCACGAGCAAACATTATATAGTTTCCATTGTCACCACCTGGTGTGCACACCACATCATCTTCTGGATCATGCTTTATGATAATATGATAGCATTATGACAAACTTGAAGCAAAATAGATTAACACATTAAACTTGAAAACAACAGAAATTATAATTTCAGAATTAATAAGCTGCATTTTAAAGCTCACAAGTTATCAGTCATTAAATCTAATTAATATGCATTATCCTTAAGACAAAATATCAAATTAATCCTTTAGTGAGCAATTTAGAAGAGCACCACATTTTATTGAAGAATAAATTACACAATGAGTGTTGTATGCATTTGATGAAAACAAAACACATACATCAAAGATTGCACAATGAAATTAAGTTTTTAACAGTTAGTCTGACAAATATTTCTAAGGCAATGGAAACTTAAGGAGTTTTACACTTAAGATATTGTTGGCATCTCAGCAGAAAAAGTGGGAAAAATCAGTAAAAATTTATGGAAAAAAGGAAATGAATAACTCAAAGAGGGAAACTGTGCACAATGTATGTCACTAACAAGCTTTAGTGATGCAGTCAAATTTAAAGAGGAACGGGAGAGGAGCTAAATTTATTAGATATTTTTATAGATTAATTTCAGTTTTTTTCAATCATATTTAAAAAAATATCTTGATGTAGTGGTCAAATTTTATATTATGTATTCAAAATGTAATTAAAATAAATATTCCAAAAAATATTGCTCATATTCAAAATACATGTAATGAATTTTGCAAGGAAGAGTAACAAACACTCTGGTATGTGTTAAAAATGCACATAAGTGAATTAGAAATGCTTTAACAATTTTTTGGTTGAAAGCCATTTAACATTTTAAATAATGATATATTTACAATATCATCATATTATTCTTCATTTTTAGGAAGTAAAAATAATTTTTAATTTTGCAATCTACAAAATCATTCCAAGTAACTACATTATGCAGAAAAATGTAAATCATTGCAAACTACTCCTTAGGGCATCAACATTCAGCTATGTTTCCATAACAAATTACCTGCCCAAGGCCGATGAACATTACATGAAACTACAGTTTCAGATTGAAAACTTAAGATTTTATAAATTTCTTTCCACATTATTCAGAAAACTGCCATATCAAATACAGTGTTACCTTGATCTATTATTTTCCAATGGGATGGGGAGACAATGCATGCTGGTTAAGAATTAAGCCTCAATTACTAGCTGTTAAAAATTATTATATGTTCTGAATAAATAACACTACAGTCAAATACCGAAAATCCGCCAACCTGAAATCCGCATTGAATCTCATAATATAAACATTCAGTTTATAGGTTCCAGAAACCGCAACATTGAGTACGAAATATCAAAGAAAAAAATACTTACCGAATAATGACGTCATAATTACCGAATAATAATCAGTCAAAACGGAAATACCAAATTATTGACGTAAAAAAGTTTAAAAAAATAAGATAAAATAAATAAGCTTTTTTTCCCTCTAATCTGCATTGAGGTAAAAAAGCAGACGATTCACTCAACTCTTTGTTCAAGTTCACGATTCACGTTGCTGTATTTTCTGAGCTTTGTTATTACATTTCACGAGATTGTTTAGTGCTGCCTTTTTTTAACCGGATATTTTGTTTATAAATTAAGAATATTTTAAATTTCAGCCCTTTTTAATACAATGACAGATAAGAAATGCACTCATGATTTTACTGTTTGCAATGTTGAAAAACGTAAACACGTTGCATTGACGGTAATGCAAAAAGTGCAAATTCTGCAAAAGATGGAAGCAGGTGCTACTCCTCGATTTATAGCAGAATGCTATGGAATTGCGACACGATTGTGTATGATATACGGAAAAATAAAGAAAAGCTGTTGAAATTTTACAGTAACAGTGATTCTAACACTGGAATCTGAAACTGGAAATCTTTGCATAAAGCGAAATCGGCAAACCTCGATGCTGTGTACATATAATACAATGAATAATATAATGAATTTATATATGTAATAATAATTTAATGCATATAATAAATTATTGCAATAATGTATATAATAATTTAAGTAAATGTATCTAATACACCTTATTCATTTTGCACTTTTAGTCCGAATATTATGCTTTATCTTTTCTGTCCTGAAATCCGCAAAATCCTAAAATCCGCACAAACTCTGGTCCCAAGTTTTGCGGATTTCTGGAATTCTACTGTACTTGCTTTCAGCATGAACACACTACGTTAAAAACTACCTTTCTTAGCAAAGAAGTAACACATTGTTCTTTGTTTCTTGGTTGAATTTTGCCTTAGCTGAAAATCTTACTTTTTGAGACTGTGTTTTCATAACCACATTGCTTCCAGTTTAAGCAAAGAAAAAAGTTTTAAGTACTTATGCACCTTCTTAAGTCTAAATAATGCTTGCCACCATCTCCTGTTCATTTTTATATTCTTCATTTTTGTCCTTTAGATTCTTTGTAGACACAAACTGAAAACACCAGATCAAGGATCTACTGTATCAGAGATTCTACTGTTCATCAGAAAAATGGAATATTACAACAGAATATTTACAAATTTTAAATAATCATAGTAACACTGTTCAACATAGTTCCCTCTAGTTTAAAAATCTTTTGCCAATGCTTGAAAAGCACATGAATACTGTTACAAATGAATTCTTTCTGACGGATGCACAACCATTCATGCATATCAAAAGAATATCATCATCTTACCTAAACTTCATTTCACTCAGAAGTGTGCCTATATCTTAAAACTCACAGATAGCATGCAGAGGGAAATCTTCATCATCAGTCTCATTAAAAGCAGAAATTTAGCAAGCAGTAACACATCTTTCATTCCAGGTCTGCTTAGGCACATACCTTGCTTACACTTTGGCTCTTTATGGATGATTCAGATAGCCTTTTCTAGCTTTAATGGACAATAATGATACTACCTTCTTAACAGTATGGCATATCAATATGCCAATTATCCTACAATTATATACTTATCTTGACAAAAATGATGGTATTTTTCTGATAGCAAGGCACAAGCAGTAAATCACCAAATAGCACCAAAAGCAGTGAATCAGCAAATATGGTATTTTTTTAAATTTTGTTAGTATATATTTCTTAAGTTGATGAAAAAAATTAATTTTAAATAGAATGAATTATTTGTTTCATGAAAATGAGCTGTTTTATTTTTAAAACTGTTTACATTGCTTGTTTGTTTCATCATTAACAAAATGAAAAAGCTGATGTTTGTGAAATTTGTGCCTGCCTAATAGAAAATGATTAAGTGCTGCCTTTTCGGATTTTGAAATCTCTGCTAATTGAAGGTGTTTTTTACTCCCCTGTCGAACTTAATTTTTAGTTTGGAAAAATGCTCTACAGCCATACTGTTGTTAAAACTTTCAGCAAACCTTACATATGTAGTTTGAAATTTGCCATATTAAAATTTCTCTTTCCACTCATTCTTCAGACAAAAAAAAAAAAAAAAAAAATGGCACAGAAAATAAAACTGGTACAGATACCACAGATCATGTGAAAGACAACAAATGAATGGGGAAAATACACTCGCTTGGTTACCAGAGTTAAAATTGTCACTGGCATTTTACTTTACAGTGATTTGATTGGATAATATTTTACCCCTTTTACCTGCTTAGCAACATTTTTACCCTCATCGTGATTTGTTCGAATGTTGCAGGGTTTTCTTTTTATTTTGGCTCATATAAAAGTTCTGCTTTTTTGGTTAAATTTTTGAAGAAAAAATGCACTCTCAGCTTATATTCGGAAATGTACAGTACTTAAGAATTAAAAAAAAAAAATTTAATTCTTAAATTAATATATGTTTTGTATTTATTTAGTCATTCAAAATGCCACCAAATTTACCATACATTCCAGCATATAATGTGCACCTATAATTTCAAACTACAATTTTGAATTTTTAGGTATATTTGCTACATAATGCACACCTTTTTCTTTATGAAGAAACCTGAAAGATGCATGCACAATACTGTTATCTTTTGAATTATTCACTCCTGGGAAGATTTTCCCCAAGCTTTTGAACAATGGTATACTGAAATGACAAGCAATAAAGGCATAAAAATGAGTGGGGGAGGAAATGCTTAGAAGAGTAAACAGTTTTGCAAAGAGTGTTGATTGCATTCAATGCATGATGGTACAGATGACAATTATATATTTATAGATCAGAATAACATGGTAAAAATGAAACAGAATTCAATGAGGTCCCTGAAGATATAATGAAAGATGAATATGATGAAGTTTTTATCTTATCTGGTAATGAATATTAAGCTCATTAAGTATGTAGAAATCTACTTTTTGCATGCTCACCTTTTGCTTATTTTTAAATCTATCACTTTTTTATCTGGCATATAGGGTGCACACGTAAATTTTGATGTTATATTTTCCAGTAAAACTGTGCATTATACACTAGAAAATATGGTACATCAGATTGGTAATGAACATTGCATATAATATTCAGCTGCACAGATTATTAAAAAAATAAAAGTACTTATGTGTCATCCCATCAAGCATGAAAGTTGGCAGAGATATAACGAAAGTTGTACCAAATGTCATGTAGAATTTTGAGCTACATTTCTATCTGCAACTCTTACAATAAAACATTTGTCAATTTCTCTGCACACTCTACAAAGTAGCCAATGATGCAGATGTCTGGCTAACTTTAATTTTGTGCTTCATAAAAAGAGTTTTGTTGATTTCTGCTATTTTGTTAGGTCATTCAATTTTAGCTGAAGTTTTCTTTGGAACGCTATGAGTATAAACCCTGCACAGGTGATTGTTCCACTCTATTACCGTATATACACGTGTATAAGTCGATACCGTGTATAAGTCGACCCCCCCACTTCCGAAATCAGTCGAGAAACTTCGAAAAAATTTTTTTAAGTACTACATTTATTCAAAATCATCTGAGGAAAAAAAGTAAATATACGATAAAAAATACCTTGGTAAATAAACAAAATCAAAATCCTTCAACGTCCAATTCATGGTCAGATTCACCAAACATTTCATAGAACTCTTCTGTCATCATTGGCTCGTCATCATACATATTTTCAGTCTCGATCTCTGTATTGTTACAATCACTACTAGAGCCTTTGTCGTCATTTTCACTTTCAAAAACAGCATCATCTTCCGTGCCGTCTAGTTCATTGCTAATACAATATTTTTTAAATGATTTTATAATCATTTCAGAGGGTATTTCGTTCTAAGCATCTTTAACCCACTGAGCAATTAATGTAATATCGGGCTTTTTAATGTTGCCTCCTTTGTAAATGTTGGTTTTTTAAATTTTGACGTGTACGCCTGTTAACAAAAGTATTTCATGAATGAACAATAACTATTATAAAGACTAATACGTACATAAAAACTATCTGCATTTCTCTTCTTGGCGAAACTTTTTTATTGCTCAATATTGATCGGTTGTTCAGGGGCCGAAAATTCTTTGGTTTAATCGAAACTTACTCTACTTAAAGTATGAAACTCTGTGATTAGTTCGTCACATAATTTAAGTCATGAAATTACTTCAAGTGACTTATTTGATAAGTCGTCCAATTTGAGTGCGGGAAGAAAACAACTGCATTATATAAAGAAATTTTTGAACTTCCGATTCTTTTAATTTTTTATGGCCCCACGTATAAGTCGACTCCCCCACTTTGAAGTCTTTTTTTTGTCCAAAATATCTCGACTTATAAATATGGTACTATTTTGTTGGCCATATCCGATTGCACTTTCCCACATGTTATGAGCAGATGTTAATTCTCTCAACTGGCAATAAATGAACTGCAGTGAAGTTACAAATGTGATTCTATAGTCCTCGAACTCATTCCTTTCAAAATGAAAGAAAAAATACAGCAATAACAATTTACATCATAATTCATAAAAACAAAAGGTTGCTTATCTAGAATCAGTGGGGGGTTACATCAAAGTGCAGATGTTATGAGTGTGCCGTGACATCATGCTTATCCGTAACTGACACTAAATTATGCTGCTTGGCTGCAGTTTCATGATCAATGAAATAACATATCAAATACCGAAAACAAAAAAGCTGGAACAAAGCAAATATATTTTACAATTAGAAAGGGAGAAATATTTGGCAAATGCCATAATATAAATAGGCAATTTAACAACACAACATTTTTATACTTACAGGTGATCCAAAATTATGACCGATCTCGTGAGCCAGCGTGACATGAGAAACAATAGGTGGAACATATTTTCCATAATTGAGAAGTGTAACAATTCCAGTGTTCAGACTCTTTAAGCTACCTCGGTAATGCTAAAAAATAAATATAACATATTAAAAGAATTTAGCCTTATTAGCCATACACAATAATCACAGATATAAAAAAAACAGTAACTGACAATCTGAATGTAAAGAAACTTTACACTTTCACATAGCTGCTGCCATTGTTAAAACATTTATTGCATACACAAACAAATATTTTCATATTGTTGCATGTGTACAGGTTGAATGCACACAGGTCCGATGATAGGTTAATAAAAATTTATTTTATCAAAATAAACACTTCAGAGTTCTGGAATTTTCTTCAGAAAGACTCATACAGGTGTCACAGTACAATCAGTGGTTATGCTTCACACCATTAAAAACGTTAAATACAATGCAATGCAAAGCACATCTACAGAGAAAGCTAACTTGAATATATCTCAATTAATGCGGAACTAATGACTCACACAATAACTAAGCAACTGAGGGCAGATGCTATCTCTTCAGCCTTAAATAGTTTTCAACTGGCCACAGAGATATTTCTAACACATACTACAGTATTACCGGGACCAGACCAAAATGTCGTTAGAAAACGTTGTCAGCTTGTCCAGATATCACCAAATTACTGAGATAACCATTTACTCAATATTAAATGCACTTGTCCCTGTTTTCTTACTTTTCCACCATAGCTTTCTCTTAAAATTTGTTTTGCGATACATTACATAGAAAAATACGATAACTGCATTAAAATCATCTATCTATATACAAAATTCGTAACAATGTAACTTCATAGAATGTGGGCACGTGAGTGTGATGACCAACCTATCTCGGGCAATAACTACATAAATTTGGGTGTCTAAAAACTTCTTTAAGGGTACAAATATGCCTTTTAGTACTAAATCAAGGTTATGCAGAAGTGGTGCATTTGTTCCCTCGAAATCAGATGATCAGATTTACCAATGGAGCAGCAGAATGTGGCTGAATATTGTCATGAAGGGGGGGAAAAAAAAGTCAATTCAAAGACACTGTACCTTTGATTTGAATTTCATACTATGTCTGCTTCAGTATTGCAGAAAAAGCAGCAATTCAGAACTGTAACTGGACTATGTTTTGTAAAGAGGCCATCCTATCAAACCAGAAATACTTTGCATGTCCTTGAAATTGTTTGCATTCAAATTTACCAACCAAATGTACATCTGAAGACATACCATATGTATGTCAGCAAATGTAACAAATATACATTACAATATATATGTAAGAAAAATAGAGAATATGTAAAAGATTAAATTAGCAACGTAAATTTCCCTTCAGCATTCTAAAAAATAGTAACCTCTATTTATACTGCGTCATTTTGAGATTAATCCACATCATATGACTCTTACATAATTCTGATGATGTAAATGGAACTAAAATTCAAACAGCCAATAGTAAGTTTACAGCAGTATTAACTATCCAATCAAAATGCATTGAGAACCAAAACTAACTCAGTCTGAATTAAGATTTCACCCTGAACATAATGCGCTTGCTTTCTACGCTTTGGCCTAGTTGGACTGCAGTCTGTCTGTGCCTTCTATCTCAATCTAAAATATAAATGTTTTGGTATAAGCACAATTAATGTGCCAACTTGATTGAGGACGCAACACTGACATAAAAGTTGAATTAAAATATATCTTGACTGCCAAATTTCTTATTCATTGTGGATCGGCTGCATTATACAACATCAAAATTCTCTTTATTCATAAGGGATTCAACTGCCTGTGTTCTTCAGAATCTATTACAACAGAGTCGACAGGATGTGTAAACCGTGCTTCGCGAAGTGTTATCATCGAAACTGTGGTTATGATTGTGAAAGAGAATTAGTTAATTAATGCCTTCATGTGCTAATCTTCAAAGTATTTACAGCTCCATCAATCTATGTGCGCAACCTGGAATCAGCAAGCAACTACACCGAACCATGCCAAAACAAGTGTGTAACAAAGTTTTAAATGTTTAAAGTCGGAATCCACTCTTCGAAATTTAATCCAGCATATGTGGTGATTTAATAAGTGCAACATAATTCAGCAATATGAAAATGGGGAAAAAAATTGAATCATAAATTTGCTGCGAGTGCTTAAATAGAAATCTAGTACCAACCATTCAAACTTAATCCAGCATTTGTTTATAGTAAAATGATGAGTGTTCAGAGTGCCAACATTTCAAATCATTCAAAAGTGCTTTGAAGGTCAGCAATCCTTATCAATAAAATGTGAAATACGAAATAGTATTTTGTGCTCGTCTGCATTTTCAGTGCTCAACTCATTCAAAGAATGGAATATAATCAAAAGTGCTATTAAGTTAAATTACAAAGCCAAAATTTTTGCATGTCCTTGAAATTGTTTGCATTCAAATTTACCAACCAAATGTAAATCTGAAGACATACCATATGTATGTCAGCAAATGTAACAAATATACATTACAATATATATGTAAGAAAAATAGAGAATATGTAAAAGATTAAATTAGCAACGTAAATTTCCCTTCAGCATTCTAAAAATAGTAACCTCTATTTATACTGCGTCATTTTGAGATTAATCCACATCATATGACTCTTACATAATTCTGATGATGTAAATGGAACTAAAATTCAAACAGCCAATAGTAAGTTTACAGCAGTATTAACTATCCAATCAAAATGCATTGAGAACCAAAACTAACTCAGTCTGAATTAAGATTTCACCCTGAACATAATGCGCTTGCTTTCTACGCTTTGGCCTAGTTGGACTGCAGTCTGTCTGTGCCTTCTATCTCAATCTAAAATATAAATGTTTTGGTATAAGCACAATTAATGTGCCAACTTGATTGAGGACGCAACACTGACATAAAAGTTGAATTAAAATATATCTTGACTGCCAAATTTCTTATTCATTGTGGATCGGCTGCATTACAACATCAAAATTCTCTTTATTCATAAGGGATTCAACTGCCTGTGTTCTTCTTCAGAATCTATTACAACAGAGTCGACAGGATGTGTAACCGTGCTTCGCGAAGTGTTATCATCGAAACTGTGGTTATGATTGTGAAGAGAATTAGTTAATTAATGCCTTCATGTGCTAATCTTCAAAGTATTTACAGCTCCATCAATCTATGTGCGCAACCTGGAATCAGCAAGCAACTACAACCGAACCATGCCAAAACAAGTGTGTAACAAGTTTTTAAATGTTTAAAGTCGGAATCCACTCTTCGAAATTTAATCCAGCATATGTGGTGATTTAATAAGTGCAACATAATTCAGCAATATGAAAATGGGGAAAAAAAAATTGAATCATAAATTTGCTGCGAGTGCTTAAATAGCTTAAATCCTTATCCTAGTACCAACCATTCAAACTTAATCCAGCATTTGTTTATGGTAAAATGATGAGTGTTTTCAGAGTGCCAACATTTCAAATCATTCAAAAGTGCTTTGAAGGTCAGCAATCCTTATCAATAAAATGTGAAATACGAAATAGTATTTTGTGCTCGTCTGCGTTTTCAGTGCTCAACTCATTCAAAGAATGGAATATAATCAAAAGTGCTATTAAGTTAAATTACAAAGCCAAAATTTTTTAATCGAGTCAATTAAACTTTAAAATAACTTTGCATTTATAAGTAATTGTATTATGATTTATTGATAGCAATATTTTGTTTTAAATCATTTTAAGAAGAAAGTCCTTAATTAAAGAAATTTTATGATTTATTTATAATGTAGTTTTGCATATTTGAATTTAAAAACTAAAATACTGAATTAGATAAATATTAAGTAAAGAATTTTGAAGATTTTACTTAAGAAAGGTTCCTAATACGATTAATATTTTTGTGTTACTCTGAATCTCTGAATTTATATTTTTGAATTTTTGCTTTAATTTAAGAATGGAATTATTGTTTGAAAATTTTAAACTCTAAGAATTTCTTCAGCATTTATCTTGAAAACATTGGGAAAAAAGTGGAATTAATACAGATAAATAATGAAAAATAATTTTAAAAAGTGAAATTAATACCGGTAAATAACATGAAATTATGGTAAGTGTATGTTAAACTTTATTGGTGACTGCATGTTAATTATAGAAGAGTATGCTGAGGGAGTACTGGTTCCAAAATACAGGCCTCTTATTATCTCTGTTTAGTTGTTCCTTCTACCCTCTTCATATAAGATAATATTGCAGGCTCTCATTTTATGATTAAGCGTACTTATATATATATATATATATATTACTATACCTTTTTTTTATTATGGAATGTATTAGTGCAGTTCATAAAAGCCAGTTACCTTATGCAAGAAACGGCATAATTTCTGAAGATGTTACTCCTGTTATATTTATGGTGTTAAAATATAATTTATCAATATGGAAATTAATACCATAAATATTTATGTGTGTTACATTTAGTTATAAATAATGATTATGTAAAAGCTTTTATTTGTGATACTCTGTGATAACAAAAAACTTAAGAATTATGATTATGTGAACTCTCAAACAAAAAGACTTTTGGACTGAAATGCTGAAAAATTTCATAAGACTTTAAAAATAAAATATCTTTTAAAAATTGATATTTATAAATTATACTTTATAGTTATTTAATTATGTTAATCAAAATTTTATGATTTACATTTTTCTTCATTTGCTAGTACTTTAATCCTTTTTCTTTAAGAAGACTTCTGTCACTATGCCTTTTTATCCTTGAAGGGGGAATATGTAAGAAAAATAAAGAATATGTAAAAGATAAAATTAGCAACACAAATTATCCTTCTGTATTCTAAAAACAGTAATCCCTATTTGCACTGCATCATTTGAAGATTACTCCATATCATATGCCTCTTACATAGTTTCTGATAATGTAAATGGAACTAAAACTCAAACAACCTATAGTAATTTTACAGCAGTATTAACCATCCAATCAAAATACATTGAGAACCAAAACTAACTCAGTCTGAATTAAGATTTCACCCTGAACAAAATGCACTTGCTATCTACACTTTGGCCTAGCTAGACTGCAGTCTGTCTGCTCCCTCTATCTTACTGCAGATTTATCTAAAATTTAAACTTTTCAGTATAGGCAAAATTAATGTAGCAACTTGATTGTGGCTGCAACACTGAAAAGTTGAATTAAAATATATCTCGAATGCCAAATTTCTTGTTCATTGTGGATCAGTGTTGCATTCTATATCAAAATTCTCGCAGTTCATTGCGGATTCAACCACCTGCACATATATATATATATATTCATTCATTCATACTCAGTATGAATCCATCAAACAGTGCTTCGATTGCTGTCAATTAATAATTATATGACTTTTCTGTGGTCAGACAAATTTGAAAATAACCTTGTACGTGAGCGTAATGAGCTTGTTTATATGGAGACAGATTATCAGTTTTCAGTTAAAGCCAAGAGCTGGTAATTACAAAAACAAGCAAAACAGACATATTTACTTTTTCAAAGTGTTTTATCCATAGCCATAAGTGAATGTTATCCGTTATGCCTGAATTTCCATTAAATGCACAGAACATAGCAATCAACTAGCATCCCTTGCTGAAGGAAGCTTCTTATGAAAAATTCATTTTTGGCATAGATAAGTCATTTTCAAAATTGCCAGACTACAGTAAAATAAAAATATATCCATCTTTTATATACCAATTTTACTTCAGCACAGTGCCCTATTAGACACAAACCAATGATACTATTTACTCTCTAACAATGAAAAACACTCTAATAAATTCTTTCACCATACAATACTGTCAATGCCAAGATAAACTAATAAAAAGAAACTGTGGTACCTATGGTTTGGGGGGGTGTCACAGATGCTAAATCTTTTCAATGTTCAGCTGTTATAATGCATCAAATAAACTAATTAACCAAAGAAATAAAAAAGTAAATCTTTCGAAATCACCCTTATTTTAAAATTTAAATATTTAGCATTTGAGAATAAATGTACACACGCTCAATGAAATTTTCCCTCTTCTTTTGAATTAAAAAAAAAATCATTTCTTAAACAATATATATTTAAGAAGATTCTTAGTATATATGCATTAAAATTGACCAGAAAATTATAGTTTAAGAGCTTTTCATTTTACAAATGAATAAAAAGTTTCAGCATAATAAAATTGCTACCTCATTTAAATTAGCTTAAAGAAGTTTATGTGCAATAATTATGTTTAGCATAATATTTCAATGAAATCTTATAATCTGTTTAAATCACACACACACACACACACACAAAATCGTTTTGCCCACTTAAAATTAGAATTTTATTTAATCACTGTGTTTACCCCATTTTTCTCACATACACCTCCAGCATTTTTTAAGTCTCCAGTCCAAGCTAATCCTAATGTGCCTCCTTCAAAATCTCTATAAGTAAACATGTATGCTAAGCAGAAAGCATCATAATCTTCTTCAGAAAACAATTCTAAGAACTTTTCCACTCCAGAATTTCCCGGAAACCTATAAGTTGGATCCTTCAGAGCTTCCATGGTATGAATTTTAATTCGCTTGATGAGAAATGATACATTATCTGGCCGCCCATCTTGATCAAAATCTAGAAAAGAAATAGGAGGGGCTGAATATTTATACAGCAGATTTTACAGTTTGAACTAAAATAAAGCAAAATTCATGAGCTAAGCATCTGTTTAAAAATTTTTGTTGTATTATTTTTTTTCTCTCTGGTATAAAACAATTAAATAAAAATATTACAGCATTAATTACACCAATGATGGCATTCAAACAATGGTGCTGACTGAAGAAATGAAAAATAGAATATTACTTATATTAATAGAATATTACTATATAAAAATAGAATATTACTTTTTAAAAGCTTTTGTCCCTCTTTAAAGCAAATCAATTCTCAGTTTAGTCTTTTATGCAGTTCCTATGCTTTATGTAAAATCAAATATGCCAAAAGATTGATTTAAAAAACTTTTCCGGGCTTTTATATAGTATAAAAGAGCATCAGCAATATATTCAACCCATTATGCAAAAATATCTTTATAAAGCACCAGATCAAGCTTTTAACACAGCTGTCAATGTTGTAACTAGGTCTAGGTCAGAAGTCAAGCCAAAAAAATGTGAGGAAATTTAAATAGAGAAAAATAATTAAAAAAAGAAGATTTTGTAAAATAAGTACAGATGCATTAAATACATAAATTTGTGCTATTAAATTATAATTGCAATGACATTTTGATGTTTTAACATTTGATATTTAAGCAATAACTGGATAACTAATATTTTAGTCTTAACCTTCTAAAACCGGGCCGAAATTCTCATAATACAGCCTTCAGACCGGCATGATCCGAAACAGTTTTGCCCCCTCTTGACATTTTCCTAATGAGAAAAGTCGTTTTCCCCTCCATGGATGAAGTAAAATTACATGTTGTTGGACGCTTACGTCCCTAGTCGAGGGGTTGCTAATTGCAATTTTTTCATGATTATTTGGTTTCATTTAAATGAAGTTCAATAAGAGTGCATCAAAATATGCAGTACTTGATCACTCAGTGCACACTTTTTGAACAAAAGTATGCAATGTTTAGATTTCACTCCTATTTCTAAATCAATCTCGTAAATAATTTGGAATTTTTTAACTTTGTTTCACTCTTCATTATACTCGCATTTTTCGTATTAGAATAGAAAGGAGAACAAAATTTTAACAAAATATAGTAAATACGATAGATTTGTAAGTCTCAGCTGGAATGTGATTTTTAATACATATTTCATTTAAAAAATACTGGTAACGACTAATTTAATGAAGAATAATAATATTTATACCATTAGATGATAGAATAATTCATACATTAGATTTGAGATGACTACACAATAATAAGTTACAAACATAACAGAGATTTAAATCTGCTTTTTTCGAAATTTTGTTAATATATAAAAATCAAAATCCGAATACATTGGTGCATTATCATTTACTTTAAAATATACATTGGACTATCAGGCAAAAGGTATATCGTAACGAGAATTTTCTTGTAAAATTGGCTTTTGTTTAGCAGAGAAAAAATCCGGCCTATCATCATCATCAAAGAATTTTGAGAACAGTGTTAAAATGTTTATGAAGAATTAATTAACGTCAATTTTTTCTTCATTTATAAAATTAATCCATTAGTAGAATTTCGTCTAAAACCATCGTTAATCCAAAGTTGAAGTCGATTCATTCAACGAATATTCTATTGCACATAATATATTTCTATTATTAAAAGAGTAATCTTTCACGTTTTCAAAGAATAAGGAAATCTGGGTTTGACACAATGTAGTAACTGTTTTTTCATATTCTTCCAGTAATGAAAACGATACCGGCATTTTTCAAAGCAAATTTAAGAAAAACTTTCGCCAACTTTGCATAAAGTATCTTCTCGTGTATTTTTTTTATTTAAAGTGTGGATTTTCTCTTGAAATATCAAAAATAATGAAAGAGCAATTTAATTCAAGGAATAACTTTGAAATGCAATATCCTCGTATATGAAATAGTGGAGAAAGTGCAATACAGTTTATTTATTCAGAATAATCCCCCTCATATGCGTAATTTATGTACTGTCAATTGAAAAATACAGTGTCTCCAAAGTGAGGGACACTTGTGCTTACAAAAGGACTAGTAAAATAAGAAAAAACTGTAAAAATTTTTTGGGGTGTTCATCTAAATTATACAATTATTACATCCTTTTTTCAAAATATAATTTAATCAAAACAGTTGTTTAGAACGGACAAAATGGCAAATACGTGAGGGACACTTACTTTCATCAAATTTATCAAAATTTTTATTTAATTTTGGTATTTGTTGGATTTCCTTTCACTTTAAACATGATTTATCTTCTTGGGATGGATTTGACTAATTTTTTTGTGATTTTGGAAGCTTTTACCCCATTCTCTTGCAGCACCGATTTAATTGTTGTTTTGAAAATGGTGTGTTTGCGAATTCTTGATTCCAATTTTTGCCAAATATTTTCTATGTGATTTAAGTCTGGAGATTGTGGTGGTGTTTTTATTATTCCAGGAGAGTTATACAGCAGCCAGACTCTAACGTTCAAAGCAGTGTGCTTGGAGTCATTGCCCTGGTAGAATTTAAAATCGTTACGATGGTTCAATTTTCGTGCCGAAGATTTCAAATTTTGATTTAAAATGTTAACATACTTGTGCCGATCCATTATACTGTCAATAAAAACAAGACCAACACCAGCGGACGACATACACCCCCATACCATAAAACTACTCCTCCACCATGTTTTACTGTTGGCACAAGTTCTGTTTCGAAATTCTTCCCGGGTTTTCTCCACACCAGATTCTACCATCAGAATCAAATATATTAAAATTTACTATCATAGCAAATATAACTTTATTCCAGTAATCAGAATCTATTTATGTTGGATTTTGCGAAAGCCAGTCTGAGTTGTCTATTCTTTTCACTCAAGAAGAATTTTTTCCTGGCTGCTCTACCGTGATATCCAGCATATCTAATTACTCTTATAATAGTCTCAGGATTAACAATTACTCCATATAATGCTTGTAAATCAGACAGCAACTATAGGAGCACTCATTCTTGGAGTTTTTTTTTAATATTTCCAACGATAATTCGCTTTATTCCTTTGGATAGCTTTGATGGTCGGCGAGGTCTTCTGTTATCCTGAATCATATGATTCTTTTTATATATTTAATGATATTGTAAAATGTTGAATGACTCGAGTAACTGTTTCAGGAGTTCTCTAATAGATTTTCCATGTTCATATGCAAATTAATAACTAATTTTCGAATTTCAGGCAAAGTTTCTTTCGTTTAGCATCATGGCTGCAGAGCTAAAAAACACAAAAATTCCAAAACAAAACTGGAGAGAAATACTGCAGACGATTTTATAAATTATTGCCAATGCTTTTGAGTAAAAATAAAACCCAAAAATATTTTTTTTTGTTACGTAGTAGTATCTAATGGTGGCCCATCACTTATGTGAGCCATTTTTTGCTCGTTCTAAACAATTGCATTTATTAAATTATATTTTTATTTTGAGAAAATGTATGTTATGTAAATTGTTTACTAATTTAAGTATGAAAACACCCACAAAAATTTACATGTTTTTTAATTTTTTTATTACAGTTTCCTTT